ACCAAAACAATGCTCTTCATATATAGAACTCCCATTCTTCTGAAAAAAAATACTAAAGCTATTCAGAATATAGAAGAATCCCCCCAAACACACACACACACACACCAAGCTGTTCTACCTTTAAGGCAAGACAAATAGCAGGATTAAAACCCCACAGCATCCCTTAAAAAAAAAAAAAAAGGAAAAAAGAAAGACCAAAGCACAGGTTATAAACAGTATTTTAACTCTGTACTGTCTGCTTTGAGATTCTCAAGTGAGCTTCCATTCAGGCTAGTCTAAGTCAATTGCATCCAGTGTAAAGACCAGGATGAACATGGCAACATTTGGAGAATGTTTGGGAGGAAAAAATATTTTGCTGGTTTTGTTTCCTGTCTTCCTTCAAATCCCCATTAGGTGACTTCAGAATCGGAGACAAACTTTTCTTTAAATAGACAAATAAAAACCAAAGAACAACAAAGAATTGTTCCCAAGATGGGTTCTTTTGCAAGGTTGGAAGGAGATTCCATTATGACCGGGGATAAAGGGCAGCCCGGGAACTTTAAGATTTCAACAATGAAGGCAGGGCCTGAAGAGAAACTCCTCATTTTTTGATTCCTTGATACAAACAAAATGAAAAGGAACAAAACAGAGGGTTTTTATTTCCACGCCACAAAAACAGGAAATAAAGGAGAAAACATCTCAAGGGGGGAGGCGATATATTACACACATTCGCACGCGAAAGATTAGCACATATCGTTTGTGGTTATCTGTATTGCAACAGTGTCTGTGAGCTTCAATCATGGACCGGGACTCCCCTGTGCCAGGCACTGTACACACAGAGAGCAAAATGACAATCCTTTGCCCTGAAGAGTTGAAATCTACGTACAAGACGATCTGCCTTTGCAATTCTGCATGTGTTTATTCAAGACCCACCTGCCCCTTCTCCCATACAGTCGCTGTGCCCCCACTCCTGCCAACCTGGAAAGATCTCGCCTGACTCGTGCTCAACATACTGTTTATAGTGTGGTGGTACTTGAAGGTCTCAACTAGATTGTACAGCCCTAGCGCAACTGAGACCAAACACACTGAAAATGACAATCCCTGCACCCAAAGAGCTTACAGTCTCCAAGACTAGACCTAACAAGTGGAGGACACAAACAAAGGGTCAGAGCTGGGTGGCAGGGGACCCGGATAAGAAAACTAATACGATGGCCACATGCCTTGGGCCTGTCGAGGCAATGATCACAACTTGCCACCTGGCTAGCTGTGATCAGGTTACCTTGAAAGGCCTCCAGTGCTGATGTCAGCCCCAGGCCCTTGTTCAGACATGGAGGTGGATCCAGAGTCCAGCTACACATTAATATTAGGAAGGTGACAGAGGAGACAATCAGGCCCGGAGTCTCCGAACGGGGTGGGGAGGGATAGGTCAATGGTTTGAGCATTGGCCTGCTAAACCCAGGGTTGTGAGCTCAATCCTTGAGGGGTCCATTATAGTGATCTGGGGCAAAAATCTGTCTGGGGGATTGGTCCTGCTTTGAGCAGGAGGTTGGACTAGATGACCTCCTGAGGTCCCTTCCAACCCCGATATTCTATGGGGAAAAAAAAAAACCAAAAAGATCCATGAGGAATATCACATGACCAGTTACTCTCAGACACCTTCCCCCCAGCCCCAGATCTCACTAGCTCCGTGCTATTAGCCATTTATCAATGTCATTATATAGCCCAGCTCTTTGGGGTTCTTCGCCATCTCTTGTTGTGTTGTGGTTAACCACACTCAGACATGGGAGTCAAAGGGAATATTCGCCTGAGAAAGAACCACCAGATCCGGCCCTTAGTGTCCAAGCTCCTGAGGGCAGGAAGTTGCCATTTCTTATTTGTCTGCAAAGCACCATGCACACTAAACATATAAATGGGCAGATCCCAAGGCCTACTGACAAAAGGTGGGTTCCTTGCTATTTTATTGAAGGGGGAAACTGAGGCACAAGACGTAGGTCACATAGTGAGCTAATGGGATAACTGGGAACAGAAGCCAGATCTCCTGACTCCCAGCTCTGGGCTTTATCCACTGGATCACGGTGCCTCGCTTATTCAGACAAACTCAGGCTGATGACTTGTAGAATTGTTGATTAAGAACCTCAATATTTGGCCTAATCTATGTAAGGAATGTTTCCGGTCCTCATTACAACATCAGAGCACTTCACAATCTTCAGTGCATGGCCCTGTAGGGGGGACCAGTGCCGCCATCCCCATTGGACAGAGGAGAAACTGAGGCACACAGGGGCTAAGTGACTCCCCTAAGGTCACACAAGAAGTTTGTGGCAGAACAGGGAATCAAACCCAGGTCTCGAGTCTCAACTAGTTCCCTAACCTCTGGACCATCTTTCCTAAATAGTAAAGGTTTGCAGTGAGGCTGAAGTGTATTCCTTGACTGGCTGTAGCTTTGCACCCTGCAGTTTAGCCAGGAAACCCCCTGAAGGGGCTGATGCGGAGCCAGCAGAAGGTATCCTTCGAGCAGCAACACATTTTAAAAGTGGGCGTGGATGAGATCCAAGTCTGCTGGGAACGCACCCGGAAAATTCCTTGGCGCTGCACAGCGGACCACCCCATTGCGTGGGTTTCCCAGCCCGGCCAGCCACTCCCGACTCTGGGATGAAGGTATCTTTTCTACTTTTCCCAGAGAGGATGAATTAACAGAAGCAAACAAACGCTTCTCACAAGCCTGGCTGAGTCTTTGCCCTTCCTCAGGGTGGGTGTCGGGGGGGAACCACTAGCAGCTCCATGCAAGCCTTGGCTTTCCCAAAAAAACCCGGAGGGGGAAAAACCACTTCTGTGTGAGCTCACACTGGGTCCTCTCTGCAGAGCATCCGCCCCTCCCCCCCCAGCCTGGCCATCCAACTGGAAAGTAATTATGTTGCGCTTTTTATTTATTACCGTGTGTGTTTTTTTTAATTGCTAAACGGTGACTCATCTTGGCAGCATTAAAATACACAGGAAATCATCCCCATTTCACAGCAATCACCATTCGATTCACTGTTAAATATTTATTCCGCGCACTCTGGCGCTGGGAGGAAGCGAGGGCCCCACTGTCCTGAAGCAGTTGTGCAGGAGACAGCAGAACAGAAGAGGAGAGGCCTCGGGAGCCAGCCCAAGGAAGACAGCAACGCTGGGATGGGTTGATGGCCTCCGCGCTTGTTAGCTGTCCCCAGTCTCCGCAGCTAAAGGCAGGGACTAGACCCCAGGATTAGGGCAGGAAGGACTCCACCAGGCCACGCTGCCAAACAAGCTTCAACGTACAAAACCCCCTATTATTTCAGTTCTGGGCACGAGCTCGCGAAACCCCAGTGGTCTGTGCTCCTCCCAGGATGGGCACGGGTCCCACCCGTCCCCACCACAAACTCTTCATTGTTCAGCCAAATGTCAGCTTAAGTGCCCACAGGCAGAAAAGCTGGCGCATTAGCCCACTGCGCCCCCATGCTGCCCTCTCCCCAGGGCTTTTGGAGAAGGCCAAGCACTGGTGACACCACCCCCAGCTGCTCAAGTTCCTACCCCTGCCTCACCCCTCCTCCTCAACACGCACCTCCAAGGGGTTTCAAACATCATCAGAGGAGGGAGACTGGTGGAGCCCGGGGGCGGTGGGAAGAGAGAGGAGAGGCTGATTTGACCCGGACAAGCCATACCAAGGGAGGGATGCATTGTAATCAAGGCATTGCTTGCCACCCCTGGGAGCAAGCTGCCTGAAACCAGATTTCAATGCAATTCAACCTACGAACCCATCTGATTTCCCTTCCACCCTCGCTTATTTGGAAAGCAAACAGGACCTTCAGAAAAGGTTCTGGAAGCAAGTCCTCGGGCAAAGGGCCTCTCTTTGCTGATGTTTTGTTCTAAACCAGGATGATTTCGTTCAGCGTTCATTCGCTGCAACAAATGGCCCACGGAGGGGATCACTTCAGATCCTTTACGTTATAACCACATACCCATAATTAGCTGCCTCGCCAAGTTACCCATATCCTCTTTGTTAATTAGTCTGCAAAGCAGTTGGAAGGTTTCAAGTCCTATTGTCACCAGTGGGTGACAAATGACTTCAAAAGATCCCCATCAAATGCCTCACTGCTTCCTCTCCTCCACCTCCACTCCATTGTCTGAATAACCCCTTGAAAGCAGAAAACACATACCCCATCCCAGTGATTTTATCACCCACCCCTGTTTGGCACGCACTTTCCCCCACCCCCATGATGCCTTTCCAGCTGAGCTTGAAATTAACGTCTGCTTTAGTGCTTTTGTAGCCACACTAGTCCACAGGATATGAGACACAGTAGGTAGGTTGGTCCAGTCAAAGATATTACCTCACCTACTTTGTGTCTCTCATGTCTGCTTTTGTTTACTTCCCCATTTCTACCCCAGCACCACTGAGGAGCTAGGAACAGGACATTGCATCAAATGGCAGCTGCAGAACCATCAGGGAGGAGGAGTGCAAGGAGTTATTTTGTGTAGGTCCTACATAAACACTGGGCCTTTTCAATAAACAAATAAAAAGATTCTCAATGGCACAACAGAGGATTAAAGATGAGGTAGATTGGGGAATAGGTGGCAAATTCCTCCCCTAATGATTTTAAAGCAGATGGAATTTGGGGAGGGGGTGTCAGATTTGACTGTGCCCACTTGAGTCTGGAATCTTCCCGAGTAAAAGCCCTTGATCAAAAAGAATCGCCGTGGGGGGCTAGGTAAAGGTTCAGATAGGCAAATACGCAGGGGAAGTGATTCGCTTCCATCCCCCACTCAAATTGGAAGAGATCTATGAAGTCCCTTTGCCTTGCCCCACTGGCCAGTCCCAGGTCGGTTCCAATGACACATTATTTTTAAGGACTTTGACCATCTCTTTGTGACTGGAATCTCCTCGGGGCAGGGACTTACTTGCCTTTGCTCGTCTCTTGGACAGCACCATGCACGCCACGGGCGCGCTGCAACCAGCACAGTCGTCTCAGAGAAAGAGACAAAAAGGGACAACCGCGGGGTCCACTTACCCTGATCTCGTTACGCCGGATTTCCACGTCACACACCGAATGGCCCTGGTGGGCCCCGCTGTAGTAGCAGCAGAATTGGCACACGGCGACCTGCTCCGCTTCACAGTGGTACAGTCGGTAGGCGTTGTGTTGGGGGCAGCTCCAGGCCCGGACGTCGTCCGCCTCCACCAGGAGGTGCCCCCGGGCCGTGGAGGGCTGCTGCAGGTGCGTCTGCACGTGAGATTGACAGCAGGGGGCCTCGCACCTCAGACAGATCTTTTGGGCGGGCAGCGGGGGGCCCCTGCGGCAGAAGACGCAGTGCAAGACCGAGGGGGTCTTCTCCAGGTTGAGGGAGTTGAACTTTTCCACAATGTTGGTCAGTTTCAAGTTCTTCTCCAGGTTGGGTTTCTGGTTGTAGGCCTGATTGCATTCCGGACAGCGCACTAACCCAGTCTCTTTGGCCCACGCCTCCCCTATGCAGCCCCTGCAGAAATTGTGCTTACAAGGAAGTTGAACGGGTTCCACAAAGACATGCAGGCAAATGGGACAGATAAGTTCCTCTTCGAAACAGTTCTTCCAATTTTCAGCCATTTCTACGGATAGATTTATAATCTCTCTCTTACAATTTCAGTTTGATCTACAGATGCAGCTGGAGAGTGGGCTTTTCCCCCTGCAGTGGGAAGTCTGCCGGAAAACTGCTATTGAAAAATAAAATAATAATAATAAAAAATAAAAACTACAGTATATCCTAAAACTCAAAGTAAAATAACCCACGGAGCAGAGTTCTACCAAACTCAAACACTAACCAAATGTATATATATGATTTGATTAAGGGCCAGTGTCAGTTGAAAAAAAAACACAGAAGCTTTCAGGGTTTAAAGCCCACAATTTTAACAACTCTTAGGAGCAGTTTTGTTTCTTTTGATTCCGGAAGGTGAATCAAAACTTACTGAAAGTTGGGGGGAAAAAATCCATACAAAATCCAGTAGCAGAGTCCAAGTTCTATAAAAACCTCCTAAATTTAGAACTCCGGATTTGATTTTTCTTGTCTTCGGTTTGCAACTGACATTCAATATTTTAAAGGGACTTTTGTCCACCAACCCGGTCAGAAGCCCAAGAGAATAGACTGCCTCCGATTTTTTTTTTCCCTTTCCTTTTCTCCCTGAGGGGAGCTAGGAATTAGTCTTAAAAAAAAAAAAAAAATCCGAGTTAAGATCCAAATGGAAGATTAAAAAACAATGAAACAACTAACTGGATTCTTTCAACTGCCCCAAAGATTTTCTTCTAACCCAGCTGAGCAGCAAAAAAAATTCTGTCGGTTGCTTTGGAATAGTGAGATCTTGGACGGAAGAATACAGTGGGAAGATGGGTCAATCATTCAGATGAAATTCCAGCCCAGAGCCAAAGGAACCCTCCCTGTCCCTTCCTCCTTTCACAGACAGGAATGAGAACGAAAAAAGGTTTGGGAAAGAGGGGAAAAAAAGGCCCATGAAACAAAAAAATCAACCTGTGCTCTAAATTCTCACTAGGGAACAGGTTTAGAAAATGAAAATCTGGTTTCAGGATCTGGAGAGATTCTGAGTCAAGGCAAAAACATCCCAAAGTAGAAATAATAAAAACAAAACAGCAGCTCAATATTTGGGAGAGAGCTGGGTCGCTGGTAGGGAAACAAGCAGGCCTTGATCAAACTGAAAAGGAATGTCTCAACTGCTAATGAAGAGCCCTTCCCCCTTCTTTTCCTTCTCTTCTCGGTTTTCTCTCTGACATGAAAAGCTATTTCTCCTTTCAGATCCAGCCTGCAGCAAGGGGCTGAGAGGGAGAAGCGGAAAGAAGACGGCTGAAATGTACAATTCCAGCAGGATCTAGTCAATTCTCAGCCATTTTGAGTGGCCTCTCTCAGTTTGGATTTTAAAAAGAGAACCACCCGATTAAAAGGGTGGATTAAAAAAAAAGTAATAAAACCAATACAAAAGAATCGACCTGGCAGACGGCACCACCCTGCAAAGCAGGCGCCTGATGGGTCAGGGTAAGGAGGGGAAACTCCAAATCGCGTCTGTGCAGCGGCAGCTGTTCTCGTCTTTTGGCTTTATCATCAGATCAAAAAAAAAAAGCCAACACGCTCATCACGGCCACCTCCAGCCATCTTGGTTTCCTTTTCCTTTTCTTTTTTTCTAAATAATCTCTTTAATAAAAATAGACGTCTCTTCTTGTCCTCCCTACGCCCCCAGAACCCTACAAAAATAACCTGGCAGCACAAGGGTTTCCAGGCTCTCTCTTCTCCCCCCCCCCCCGAGTCCCCGCCCCACGCAGGGGGAGGTGGTGGGGGGGAAATAAACCGACTCCCTACAAAATTAAAATAAAAAGAAAAAAACCCCCCACCCACGAACCAGCCACAACCCAAGCGGGCTCGCCCCGATGTCACACGCGCGCCGGGGGAAAGGCGACCGGGGCAGCGGCTCCCCTAGGCTGGGCCATACAGAAGGAATACGGACTCCTGACAGCTACGGAGCCATAGTCAAGAAAGAGGCTGTCACATCCCAGGTGCAGAGCGGGGGGGGGGGGGGCCGGGTCCTCTTCGGGCTGTCGCTGCGCAGGGGGGCGGCCCGATCCCCCCGCCCCGAGCGGGCTCCCCTGGGGCCGCGGCGCCTCGTTCGCCGCCGCCGGCGAGTGACCACCCGGGGAGCGCGGGGGGATCCGGTCCGGAGGCTGCCGCGGCCGCCGACTCCTCCTCGCCCGCTGCTGCCGCTACCGCCGCTGCCTCCCCCCGCCCGTGGCCGCGTCTCACGCCGGGGCTGAGCCGCCGCTGCAGCCTCTAGCCCGGGCCCCGCCCCGCCGGCCCACGTGACCGCCCCAATTCGCTACATTGAAACACCGCCGCGTTCGGCCCCCTGCCTTAAAGCGGCCGCGCCTGGGCGGCAGAAGCGGCGGGGGAGGAGGGGGGGGCCCACCGATCTCCACCTCCCCCACGCCTGCGACCCTCACCGCACCCCTGGCAGGGTTAGGGCTGTGATGACCGTGGCACTCGGGACCCCCAGGCCTGGGCCCCGCCGCGGTACCGAGACAGCCGCTGCCCCAAAGAGCTTCCCATCCTTGGCAGGAGAGGATGGGGGGCAGCGGGGTGACCAGATGAGAGGAAGAAAATATCGGGACACATGGGGTGCGCCATGAAATATCAGGACAAATGGCGTCCCGACTAAACTAGGGTGACCAGACAGCAAGTGTGAAAAATCAGGACGGGGGTGGGGGGGTAATAGGAGCCTATATAAGAAAAAGACCCAAAAATCGGGACTGTCCCTATAAAATCGGGACATCTGGTCACCCTACGACTAAACATCAGTCGGGATGCGGGACAAACGCCTCAATATCGGGACAGTCCCAATTTTATCGGGACGTCTGGTCACCCTGGGGGGGGCAGGAGGGGACCTGCAAGAAACAACCAGGCCCCGCTGGTTAGCGCGAGAGGCCGAGCGCGCAAGGCAGCAAAGTCCGTCAACGTGCGCTCGGAGGCTCACTGCTGCAGGCGGTGTAAAGACACCCTTAGACATGTAATTCCCACTGAAATCAACGTCAGGTAGGTGCCTAAATACCTTTGGGGAGCTGGGCCTCACAATCTTTAAGATATTTACCCTCACAACACCCCTGTGCAATACGGAAACGCTATCATCCCCATTTTACAGATGGGAGACTGAGGCACAGAGCAGCTAAGGCCTAAGCACCAGACCATGTTGTGTGCGACCAAAGCTCTCCAGGAAAATAGGTGGTTTTTCTAGCTGCCTGCCCTGCAAACTCAGCCTGAGATCTGAGAGACAGATTAACGCATTGCCAACAATACAGATCCTGGAGCTAGGACGTTGTAGGGATGTGTGCACTGGTTTTAGGGGTGTTGGTTTTTAAGCATAGCAGAGTCTTACAGATTTGCATACAACCTTGTAAAGGCCTCCATGTTTTCTGCACCCTGTGAGAAAAGCAGTCTAAGTACGGCCAACCCCAAGTGTTCCAAAATCATGAGTCACGCCCCCCCCAAAACGCCTGTGAGATTGGCTTCAAAATCATGAGACTGAAACCAAAAATAATGAAGTTTGGTTACTTGTTATCTTACTTCTGTGTTTTGAGCCTTTGAGCTACACTCGGGTCATGTTTTTGAAGCCCAGACCTTACCCTTTTAAAAATATGAATAGTCACATGAATCTGGGAGCTGGGGCTTTACGAAAAAAAACCCAACCAAATACCATGAGAGTCGGGATAAAATTGTGAGAGTGGGCAACACTATAAGTGTCCCTGGAGCCAAATTCTTTTTGGAATTAAATGCTCACCCCAGTTTTTAGGCGTGATTCTTATTTCTTTCCTCAGCGAAGATAAATGATTTAGAAATATTTCCAGCTTTACTCACCAGTGCTGATCACAGTGAGCTGACTTGTACTTCACCACGCTCTGCGTTTAGCTTCATCGCGGCTCGGGATTTGGTGAAACTCCTTTCACTCGGGCCAGTCCAGGGGCTTGTCAAACCCAAAGGGCCGGGGAGCGCTGAACTTCGGCAGTTTTCTTTTCCTGTTATTGATCCTGCTCCAGAAGGAGTTTATCTCGGACACCGTCATGTGCCAGTGGCAAAGAATCCTAGAGAGCATCACTTTCTTCCAACACGGAACATGGACCTTTATTAGAATAAGCAACGCAGTGCTAACCCTAAAGCTCCTCTGTTTCTCTCTGCTTTACTGTAGAGCTCTGCCTAGAAGCTCCCCAAGCCTCAGTGCTGCCTGGCGGATTGCTACAGATTTAAAGAAACAATACCCAGAACGTCACCGTTTCGTTAATTCTTTTGACCATGAGCAACGCAGACTAGAATCCGGATCTCTCTCTCTCTCTCGATGCTGCGTTGGTTCTGCAAGGAGAAGAGGCGTATAAAGCAGGTGCTCAGAGGGTACAGTGGTGAAGACCAAAGTACTGAGGAAGACAGAAGTAGTAAGCACTCATTTTACTCATGAAAGTGAGACGATCTGACTCTGAACACACACGGGCAGCAGGTCAAGTGAGAAAGGAGGAGCCGATAGTCACTTGCTTTTAAACTGGGGCCCAACAAGCTCTGTATGGCCTGTCCTCACCAGGGTTCATAACCACATTTGAAAGGGTTGGTGGTGGCTTGCATCCATGCAATGGTTTCAAACACAGCTGAAGTAGCACCTAGCAAGCTGGAGGGTGAGAAGCGCCATTAGTGGTTTACAGCAATTGTTCCCAAGCACCTCCAGGTACTGATTCCACGGGCCTCGGAGCCTGTAGCTGGCCCGTTCCTGCCTTAATAGTTGGGCCCTGATGTGCTACTGCATCTGACTCAGCTGCCCCCACCCTCGGGCTCAGGGGAGCTGAGTCGGCTCCGAACAGCAGTCACGATTTCGCAGCCAGCCAGGTTAGAGAGCGCACAGCTGCTGACAATCTATAGAGACCTTCACACCATTTTACAGACTACAACCTATGGCACCTTGCCTCAGGAGAGCTGCTCCGTGTAACCGACATCAGGATCTGAATGCTGCCATCTCTAGGGTGGAGGGCAGCAGCTAACTGGTGAAAAATAAGGAGAATAGACTTCAGTTAAAGACAGAGCCAAGTCCTGACCCACACAAACAGGGGATGAGGAATCAAGTTGTTAGCCTGGCAAATGAGTACAATCGGGGTCAGCCTTACACACAATCTGAACGCAAGGGTCAGAGGGGTAGCCGTGTTAGTCTGGATCTGTAAAAAGCAACAGAGGGTCCTGTGGCACCTTTAAGACTAACAGAAGTATTGGGAGCATAAGCTTTCGTGGGTAAGAACCTCACTTCTTCAGATGCAAGTGTCCCAGGACAGCTCACCTAGGGCCGGTGTCCCTATCATGCTGTGATACCAGCGTGGGATGGAGAACCTCATCTCCAGCCACACAGGGGAGCAATTCGTAGACTGATCCAGCCCTTCCAGCAACTGGTTCTAGCTTGGGGTCTTGCGAACTGCAAGACTGGCCGTGGGTACCAAAAACTCATGGGCCAATCCAGCTCCCAGTGAGCATTTTGCCCTAGGGTCAGGACGGGGCCATTCTTTTGTGTCCAGACATTTTAGCTGTGTTTTGAACAATTTATGTTTTGCCCACACGGTCTCTTTGAACCCCAAATTCCCACCTGTGTTGTTTTGTTTTGTTTTTCATTCTCTTGGAGATTGGGCAATTCTCCTTTTCCCTTGGAAGAGAACATAGGGGTGTGCCTGTTATCACATCTCTCCTGCCAATCTCCTTATCAGCAGCTGCTTTCGCAGGAGGAGGGAGGTTGTATATCCGACTCCTGCTGAATGTGCTAGGGTGTTGGAAGCAAAATATGTTTCCAATGTAAACACATTTCCCATAAGGAGAACTGAAAAGGCAGAACTCAAGAGTGGCTTAAAAACAGAACATTTAGATTAAAAAACCACGTAGTGCTTTCTGCCGAATCAAGATACCACTGTAATGCATGTTAACAGAAGGAAGCACTACCTTGTGGTTAAATCCCAGGACTGGGAGTCAG